AATACTATATAATATTATAATAATTATAGCATTATTGTTTCTTTGCATCTTAAGATTCAAATACAAGGCTTTTAATAAATAATCTCAGCCTCTAAAATTTCAAATTCTTATAATGTGAAACAGTTGGCGATCTGTATAATATGCTAAATTCTTAAAGCAATTAATTTCACTTTCTATTAAAAAAAATTTTGTTCTCAAAAAAAAAAAAGAAAAAAAAAAGTGGCCCTAAATTCCTAATTTTCTATAAGTGTTCTTTTCTTTTGGATTTTGCCCATCTTCCTACTGGCCCAAACAAAAACGATTATTTCTGATTTGGTCCAATCCGCTACGAAAACCGGGCCTCTGTAAATTGGTTGGTGGCCTGTTCCTTTTGATTTAGAAGCAAGGCGTTTGTGACTTCGTGTGTACCGAAGGGGAAGCAAAACTGTCTGCAGAATCAGCTCATCTATGCATTCAATCTCAGATGAATTCCTTAATTTTTGAAAGCCCCTCAAATCTTCGAGTTTCCACTTCATTTTTCCTCTTCAATTATCCATCACTTTCCCGGGAAAATTCAAGATTCTTACACTTCTCCTACAGAAAATGCAACCATTTTCCCAGAGCCTTGAACTTTTCTCTAACCGGAGCTTCTTTACCGACTGATTCAACGACGAGTTACGGCGGGTGGGACGATTATGGATCGGATGCTGAGATTGGTAACTCTGGTGATTCCACTGGGTTAAGTAATTTCTTGGCTTCTGTTGGAATTGATGATAAGAAAAGTGTCTTTATGTTTTTATTGGGTATTGCTTGTGCTTTGGCTATTTATAGAGTCAGGGTATCTAAGATTATCACGTTTCCTGCTTTTGTCTTGGTGTTTGCTGTTGGGTTTTCATTTGGGTTTGTTCGTGGAGGTAGCTTTGGTGAAGTGAGTGCGTATAGGAGAAGGTCAAAAGATGAGTTTGGGAGGGTTTTTAGTGAGAGGATGAGGAGTTTGGTGGGTTTCTTTGATGGATTTGATGTTAAAGTTAATAATTTGAGGAATAGTATACAAAGGGCGATTGATTCTAATAATGTTAGTGCATATGATTTGGAGAATTATGTTAATGCTGTGGAATCAATGAGGTTAGAAGTTTTAAATGCTAGAAATGTTGTTGAGGCTTCTATGGATAATGAGGGAAACTCTAATGATTCTGCAATTGATAACCATAAATCATTAAGTAAAAAAAGGAAGGAGAATGGTGGAGTTGGGTTTGAGTTCTCCCGGTTTCTTGGGAGTTTATTTGGAGAAAGATCAGTTGGTTCAAAGTCTAATAAAACAAAAGTGAACCCCAAGCGTGAGGGTGCCGAAGGAAAGTCAAAGAATCAAACTCAGGGAGATTTTTTATTTCCTCTTGCTGAGGAAAGGGTTTTTGCTTCAGTTAATAATGGTGGTAAAGGTGTTTCAAATTCAGCATTTGATCATAATTCTTTGAAAAACTCTACTCCAAATGTAAATAGAGAAGGCAAAACAGAAATGACTTTGGAGAATGGTGAAGAATATAACTACCTGAATAAAAGATTACATTTTGTTAATGAATCCAAAAAATGGAAATCCAATGATAATCTGCTGAATCCTAGGGATGTTAGAGTCAGATTGAATATGAAAACTGAAGCTTCCTTTGTACATGAGGAGATTATCAAGAAATCTAGTGGAGCTTATGGATATTTTGACAGCAGGGAGAAGCGTGAGAAGGAGGTATATGGAGAGAAGATGAATTATGAAGATGATTCTTTTCTGGCTCAGGCTGATGGCCTAGATGCCCATGAGAGTGAGGTTGGTTCATCTACATCAAAGTTTGCTGATGATGTGTTATTTGACAAGTACCTTGTGGAAGCTAATGACCTACTGACAGAAGCCAAAGACTGTATGCGAGGCAGACATGATGAAGAATGTGCAGAGCTCATGTTGAACAGGTGTGCCAAGGTTCTCTTGAAGGCCAATGCTATGAAGCCCATGAGTTTGTTGGCTGTTGGCCAGTTAGGCAACACTTATCTCCTTCATGGAGAGTTGAAGTTGTATATTAGTCGTGAGCTGAGAACTCTTCTTTCAAGAACAGATGCCAAAATTTCTGAGAGACAAGAAAGAATTTTAAAGGGATTTGATGACCAATTTACTGATAGAGATGGACTTGTATCTCTCCTTCTTAGTGTATGTCAAGAGTGTGAAGAACTCCTTGTAAAGGCTGGCAGAAAATATAGGTTGGCACTGTCAATTGATGGGAATGATGTGAGATCCCTTTACAACTGGGGTCTTGCTCTCTTTTACCGTGCGCAGTTGATTGCAGATATTGGACCGGTATGGATTCTCCCTGACAGGACTCTAGTGTGATTTCATTCCAAAATATAGTTAGTGAAAAGGGAAATCAGTTGGATCAACTTAGTTTGTAGAATCTTTCTAAATATCTTATGAAATGCATTGAAGTTCTACAAGCATCTTTGTCTAATATTTCGGTGAGTTTTCAGACATTATCTTCCAACATGTAACTTTGAAATGTATCCTTGATGTTTCAGGAAGCAGCTTCTGATGCTGACCAAGTGTTCTTGGCCGCTATTGATAAATTTGATGCTATGATGTCTAAAGGCAATATTTATGCACCTGATGGTATGTTTTTTAAGCTAATTCTTTCTCTTGGTCAAGAAATTTGATTTTACAATGTTGTTATCTGAATGCATTTTTTATCTGCATGGTCTTAGCATTGGCAAGTGCTACTGTTGTTTGCTTTGTCTTAGTAGAATTTGATATGGATGACTGAATATGATATTCTACATGACTTGTATGCATGTGCTGTGGGAATTGCAGCACTGTACAGATGGGGTGTAACATTGCAGCAAAGGTCTCGCTTACGACCAAGTAACAGTAAGGAGAAGATAAAGTTGCTGCGGCAGGCTAAGTTGCTATACGAAGATGCACTTGATTTGGACTCGGAAAATGTCCAAGTAAGAGAAGCCTTGTCATCATGTGTATCTGAACTCAAATACAGGTATTTTTAGTGATTAGGATGGTGGTCTTGAATCTCCAACCCAAACCATCCATTATTTTTGGGGTTGAATATTTTGGTTTGTGTCACAGGCTGTTGTAATAAATTTGATAAATATCAAATAACATAGGTTAAATACCCTTTTTGGTCCCTCTACTATAGGAAAAAGCCCCTTTTTAGTCCTTGTACCGAAAAAATCCCTTTTTTGGTCCTTACTGTTCACAAATCCGGTCCCTTTTTGGTCCCTCCGTTAATTTTTGCTCACATGGCACGTTAACTTAACGGGAACAGCTGATGTGGACTTAATGATACCCTCCACGTCACCCTCCACGTGCCGGAAAAAAAAAAAGAAAAAGTTAAATGCTAAATTTGATCCCTCAACTTTATAAGTTTGCATTTTTTTGATCCTTAGATTATTTTTTTTACTTTTTTG